TATAATTGGGGAGCCTCACATTGTTTATTGTTGATAAATTAAAACATATGGAAAACACCAAACAGAAAGAAAAACACATTTAATGTATTGTGGGATTTTGCTCTTCTATGTTTTGGGTTGGCTATATATATATATACAAACACCAACAATCAACTAATCAATGGTTTTCCGGGGCGAAAATAATCAGTGGAATTGTATGAGGTAAATTGTTAAATAAGCTACGAGTGCACTTGGGGATACCATCAACGGATTGATCAACAAACAGTATGGCACAGGGGACGATTCTCCAGAGGTTGGCTTCAACATGTCCACAAAATGGGTTAATTTCAACACTTGTGATAAATGTTAATGAGTCAAATATAGCCTAGCCAAATGGAATGATGGAATCATGATCTCGAGTGGTTTAGAGAATATGAAGCATCTGAAACTAACAGCGTGGTTTTTACACACAATTCTAGGATTCCTTGCTTACAAAGCTCAAGCCCATTTGATTCGGGCTGACAGTGGTTCATTGGTTTTATCAACATTTAAGTCCGTGGACCGGAACTTTTTTTTTGGAGAGCGGGTAGTCGTGGGTGTGAAAGTCCTGATTTTGTTATATTAGTCATTAAATTCATAATTATATCAGTCATTACATTGATCATTATATTAATCAAAATATTAGTCATTATATGATCATTAAATGAATCATTGAATTAGTCATTATGTTAATCATTAAATGAACCATGATATTAAACATTAAATGAATCATTATGTTAATCATCAAGTTAGTCATTATATTCATAATTAAATCAATCATTGCATTAATCATTATATTAGTCATTATATAAGTCATTGAATGAAGCATTATATTTATCATTTTATGAATCATTACATTAATCATTATATTAATCAATAAATGAATCATCATATATAATCATTAGATTAGTCATTAAATAAATCATTTTATTAGTCATTTCATTAATCATTAAATTAGTCTTAAAATTAATCATTATATTAATCATTATATTAGTCAATAAACTAATAATTATACCACCCATTACATAAATCATTATATTAATCATTATCAGTCATTATAAAAGTCATTAAATGAATCATGAAATTAATCATTATATATATATCAGTATATGAATCATTATATTGATCATTAAATTAGTCATTATATTAGTCATTGTATTCGCAGTTATATTAATCATTACATAAAACATTAGACAAATCATGATAATAATCACGATATTAATCATTATATTAATCATTATAATAATCATGAAATTAATCATTATATGCATCATTATGTTAATCATGATAATAATCATTATATTAATTATGTTATTAATCATTAAATTAATCATGATATGAATCATATTAGCCATGAATTTAATCAGTAAATTAATCATTATATTAATCGTTATACTAATCGTTATAATGTTCATTATATAAGTCATTATATTAGTCATTATATGAATCATTATGCCCAACATTATTTTAATCATGTTATTAATCAAAAAATACACATATAATCATTATATTGGTCATTGTATCAGCCATTTTATTTATCATTATATTAAGCATTATATTAATCATTAAATTAATCATTATATTAGTCATTTTATTAATCATTACATTACTCATTATATATAAAATCATTATATTAGTCACTATGTTATTCATGATATTAATCATTGTAATAATCATAATATCAATCATTATATTACCCGTTAATGAAATATAATCATGATATTAGTCATTACATAGGTCATTAAATTAATCAAAATGATAATCATCATAATCATCATTATATTAGTCCTTTTTTAAATCATTATTTTAATTACTATATTCAACATTATATTAATCATTGAATTAATCATTACATTAATCGTGATATTAATCATTACATTAATCATGCTATTAATCTTTATATTAATCATTAAATGAAACATTACATTACTCATTATATACATATATAGTCATTATATTAGTCATTATAAAAATCATGAAATTAATCATTGTATTAATCATGATATTAATCAGTATTTTAATCATGTTTTAAATCATTGTATTCGTCATTATATTAATCATGATATTAGTCATTAAACTCATAATTATATCAGTCATTACATTAATCATTATAGTGGTCATTATATTAGTCATTATATGAGCCATGATATTAATTATTTTATTAGGCATTAAATAAATAATCATTATATTAGTCATTATATAAATCATTAAAAGAATCATTAAAATTGATCATTATTTATCATTCTATGACGCATGATATTAATCATTATGTTAGCCACTAAACTAATAATTAAATCAGCCATTTCATAAATCATAATATTAATCGTTAAATAATCATTACAAAAAGTCATTAAATGAATCATGAAATGAATCAATATATTTTTCATTATATGAATCATTATTTTAATCATTATATTAGTCATTGTATTAGTCATTATATAAATCATTACATTATTCATTAGATGAATCATGGTAATAATCATGATATTAACCATTGTATTAATCATTAAAATAATCGTTAAATTAATCATTATATTAATCATTATATTAATCATGATATTAATCATTCTTTTAATCATTTTTTAAAATTATTATATTAGTCATTATACTCATGAATAAAAAAATACATTAATCATTATATTAATCATTATATTAGGCATTATATAATTCATTAAATTAATTTTGGTTTTTCCATGTGTTTTTGCAGTTTGGCCTGGGGGGCGCAGGTGTGCAAATTGTAGAAACGCACGTTTTTTGAGAGGTACTGTGATGAAAGCATCTTCACATGAAAAACATGCAAAAAAAACATGGAAAAACAAAAAAAACAAAAAGTTCAGACCCATGGACAGGGTCTGGGGAGAGGCCTGGCAGGGGACATGGGTCTGAACTTTTTTTTTTTGGTTTTTCCATGGTTTTTTGCAGTTTGGCCAAAACCTCGAGAAAACCAAAAAAACACACAAAAAAAAGTTCAGACCCATGGGCAAGGTCTGGGGAGAGGCATGGCAGGGGACATGGGTCTGAACTTTTTGTTTTTTTGGTGTTTCCATGGTTTTTTGCAGTTTGGCCAAAACCTCGAGAAAACCAAAAAAGCACCAAAAAAAAAGTTCAGACCCATGGGCAAGGTCTGGGGAGTGGCCTGGCAGGGGACATGGGTCTGAACTTTTTGTTTTTCTTGTTTTTCCATTGGTTTTTAGCATGTTTTTCATGTGAAGATGCTTTCATCACAGTACCTCTCAAAAAATGCGCGTTTCTACAATTTGCACACCTGCGCCCCCCATGAGTACCCCTTCTGTTTTTTTTTTGGCGGGGGTGGTATCCAAATTGTTGCTAGGTTAAATTCAGGTCAATTCCTGATCACAAGTCGAACAAGTCAGTGACAGCCCAATCATTGATTAAAGGAAATGTTTTCTTCATTATTAATAACCAAAATGTATAGCACTACCCTCTAGTAAACAAACCTCCCAACGGCACATCCCGTATTCAAAAGAATCATGATTCATCATCAAGAAATGGGGGCATCTCTCATTACCAAGAATCCCCCAACAAAAACAACAAATACTTTTCATCTAATTATTCAGCCATCTCGACAAAAAGAAATGTTCACCAACCTGACTTGAAATGTGGCGTGTTTTTTATTCGCCCCAAGTACCAGCCGTCATATGCGACGTGGTGATGAGGTCGTTTGAAAAATGACGAACCTAATCCCCCAACTAAACCACCAGTTAGATGGGTTAGATCTGTTATATAAATCGTCCTCAATGGATGGCAATGAATGATCATGATGATTTAATCAAACCATTAGCCAAATTTGTTCGCATATGTTGCTAGCGAATGGTGTTATAAAATTGAAATTAGCAAGGTTCCTTCCGCTGCTTACCACAATCATAATTGGGTTGTTCTTGAAATTGGGGTGCCGCAAAAATTCTTTGATTTCTTTTCTAGAAATGACCAATGTTTGCATGAATCTGAAGTCGCCCATTTTAAGAAAAAACAGAAATTTGTCCCAAGCAACTAGATTTACTTCACTGCATACCGCAGTACCCAAATATCCTCATTTTGTTTCTCAAATCAATCCTGTGAATTACCCCAAATACAGTACCATTCTCATGCAATTTTCCATAAAATGTTCCTCCAAAGTTCATTCTCCCCATCGTCCACCATTTTTTCCTGGTGAAACTCCGTACCAAACTTCGACCACTTCCCAGCCCTTCGTCCCTTCGTCCTTCACCAAAGGTCTCTTTCAACTCTTGGCGCCTCCAGCTACTCACCGTGCTTGTTGCCGCCCCGCGCTCCAGCCGTTCATCTGTGGCCCAGGTGCCTCAGGACGTGTACGGCCAGGGGGCCAAGGGCCAGGGGTTATTTAGCGATATATGTCATATACCTATGGTTGGGATATCCTCCAATGTTATAACCTCCAATGTGTATATATATATAATAATATATAATTTATCATTTAATGAATTACCATGAATTACCATGAGATTTTAAAATTTTAGACCTGCGGAAGTTGGGATATGTGGCCTGTACAGCTAAGCGTGTATAACCCCCCTAATTATTGGTAGAACTGCCTAAGCAAAGCTGGGGCCCGGAGAATTCCCCAGGGAGGTGGGTGATTTTATTTTGATTACACAAGATCTTAGATATCAGGGAAGTATTTGGTATAGGAAATGAAGAACTATGCGATATCTACATTGGACTTTATATAACTAAGGCCTGCAACAAACATCAAGGTTGGAAATGTCATGGAAAACAATAGAACAGGAGAGAGAAAAAGAGAGATATAAATAAATAAATATATATATAATTATGTGTATATATATATACACACACTACAGTAATATCATATCCACATATATTCAAATAACGTTTGCAGCGGAGTTTGCGATTTTTCATGGTCAAGGTGGAGCATTGGCATCAGAGTTGGTGTATCTCATAGGAAAACAGCTAGGAAGATGGCAGCAGAGTTGGTGAGATCCTACTTTTTTTCACTCCGTCAAAGTAGGCACGGGGAGCCAGATTCAGCTGCACCATTTGCAACTTGGGGGGAGGCCACAAGTAAAGATTTCCTACTTGCTCCCAAAACATGACTATGAAGTACAAATGGACCGCTCTTGTGCAAACACACATTAACTCAGATAGCTAACGCTACCTTTCGTGATTGGTTGAAGATAAGCCTGGCAGCTTTACATGGACCATGTTTGTTGTACCAGCAATTTGCATCAATTTGCTGGGTGTCTGAAATAAAGCGTCCCAAAAACCGAAGTCCATCATGGCGCTAAACCAAAAACGACTCTCGCTTTCTGCCCAGCTCAAGTTCTCCGCAGCTCGATGGAGCTTTGGTGCCTTTCACTGGACGTTGGGACCGTTGGGAAGAAGAAACTTTGTGCCACTTCATCCCGGTAGACATAGCCCACGGCGGCCACCAGAAAGATCAGCATCAAGAACACAATGAACCAAATCACCACCATGGGAAAAGATTCGCCCTCAGCTGGTACTCCTGTGTTGTTCATAGGAACCATCACGGAAAACACCGTTGGGCCCCTTTTCTGGGGAAACGTCACTTGCAGCGTCACATTAACATTTTCTGCATCTAGGGGAAGTGCATCAGGGTTCACTTCCAGCTTCAAGTCCACCGCAAAGGTCCCATTGGGTCCAATGGAAGAGCTGTAGAAAGTTTCATCAAGCTTCACCAACCCCTCAGAAGGCTGATGAAATCGCCAATCACTGGTAGTTTCCAATACTCTTACCTTCAAGAAATCTTTGTCCACCTGAAAAATTTCCCCCTGCTGCGTCTCCAGATCCAGCTTGGGAGGTTCAAGGAACCCCAAGGTGGGGCTTTTGAGGCGGAGAAAATGGGTATAATTGATGGATTCCCACAACTCCATCGTCCACCCATAGGTCTTCTCCACGGCTGCGGCACAAGATGGAAGCATGCTCACGGGGGAAGAGAGGCAAAAGTCGATGAATTTCTGGAATTTCTCGGACTCAATCAGGCCATCCGAAATTAAACGGAAGCTTGCAGACCAAGGATGCGTGCGTGAGTTTGGACTCTTCCAATGGCGAAAGGGGTCAAAGGGCAGGAGCACACACTGGAGGTCCATCACATCATCCTTCTCTAAGGTCACAATATGATCAGAAATCAAAGGCAGCCAAGGAGTTGTTGGGATCGGCAAATGGCCTGCCAGGGATTTGGATTAAGTGGATGTAACATGCTCATGCACTGTCCCTCGATCATCTTGATGACTGGGTTGACTTCTAGGAATGTTTGCGTTTCAGACATACTAGCAAAAGGTTTAAGTCGCATCAGTTTGGCAGAAAGTCACATCAACCCCATGGCACAGCGAGTTGGAAGAATCAATTAAGCAAAAATCACATTAAAACAACAAAATCCCCATGGCACACCGGCTTTCAGGGAACGGTTCTATTTGTCAAAAAAGAGGCAAACATTGCGCACGCTGAGGCATCAACATATTTTCGTGTTTTCATAGGACATATGAAGGAATCACCATGGCACAGGGCATCCAAGGACTTTCATCTTTTGTCCGGAACAAACACAAATCCCCAAGTCTTAGTGACGGGCACCATCATCATGCCAACAGTTTGAAATCACGACTCCCATCGGCACACCGTTTTCCATATCCCCTTAAGGTTGAATGTTGTCGATGTAGAACGTCCTTTTCCTCCTCTTTTCTCTCTGTAGCTTTGCGTCTTTGTGTGAGAGTCAAAAGGTGCGCCTAATGGTAAACAAACATGCGTTCCTGCATGGGACTCTATAGGATTCTATAGGCACGGCTAATCTAGGTGTGCCCGCCCATGCCTCTCCTGGTGGAACTCCGCTTTCCAACATTATGTTTTTTGGCCTCAAAACATTATGCACAAAACCCTTCTTTCGCCCACACGCAACTTTGTAGGGATTCTAAGGACATTGATTCAAGCGAGTCTTTAAAATGTTTCAAAAGAGTTTCTAGGGAACCATAAAACCCCCAACCCGGTTAAACTTTATATTCCAGGGAATCTTAAATATGTTTCAACCGAGTTTCTAGGGAATCATCAAATCTGCACCCCCGTTAAATTTCATTTTTAAGAAGTTTAGGGTCTAGGGTTTTAGGGTTTTAGGGCTTAGGGTTGACGTTGTTGATGTCGTTGATGTCGTTGATGTTGTTGTTGTTGTTATTGTTGTTGTTGCTGCTGTTGATGATGTTGTTGTTGTTGCTGTTATTGTTATTGTTATTGATGATGATGATGATGGTGGTGGTGATGATGATGATGGAGATGACGATGGTGATGATGATGATGATGGCGATGATGATGATGATGATGATGGTGATGGTGATGGTGATGGTGATGATGATGATGATGTTGATGTAACATTCAACGTACAGGTAGCTAAGCTGTGCGTTGCAAGATGAAAGCCATGATCCTGGACATGTGCATTTTGTCCCCCAAAGCACAGACAGTGGTTTTTGATGTTCGGACACGTGGTGGACAGCGGCGCGGGCAAGAGAGGGGGTTCCGAAACATTACTCTACCATCACTGGGTGAGTAAGCGCCAAACATGGCGACCAAGATTCCTTTTTTCAAGGGCAGTTCCTGCAAATGCTCCCGGTCAAAACCGCAAATTGCAGCTGCAAAAAAAAACGTCCTTTTTGCCCACAGCCGTTTCCCCATGGCCTGAGCTGTTTCCATTCTTCTTGTAGTACTTCTTATAGGCCAGTCGGCCACAGGCTTTGCCACGACTATACAGCGTCAGATTTTGGAAGTTTCCCTTCGCCCCTCTGCAGTCAATGCGAAAGGTGAACTGCGGGAGCGGCTGAAAGTTGGGGCTGGGCTCGGCACTGCATTCCAACCTGGCAGGGCAAGGCATCATTAGAGCTATTGAAACTGGCCCATTTATAGTTGATTTACAGTAACGATTATACATGATGATTTTCCATGGCTATTTTGGTTTATCATGGAGTAGGTTGCCATGAAAATTAGAGATGCAGAATGTACCCAGAAAAAAAAGGTTTGGATGGTGTGCCAACCTCAAATGTTCAGAAAATTAAAGCTACCTTTTAAGCCTTATAGATATCTTCGTCCTCCCACCTGACTTTGGTGCCCGTGAACTTGCAACCGCTCCTCTCGAAGCATTTCGAATTAACGCATATTCTGCCCTCGGGAGAATCCATCAGCTCAATCGAGCGCACATGAACCCCCACGTCCGCCTCCGCGAAACCCACGGTGAGGTGCAGCGCGTGCAGCGCGTGCAGCGCATGCAGCGCGTGCAGCGCGTGCAGCGCCAACGGGCCGCTAGTAGTCCACATGGCAATTTGGCCAAACTCATCGGGGAACCCAAATGGTTTGAATAGATTTGAATTTGTTGAAAAAAATGACATTGATTGAAGGGATTTCAATTTATTCAAAACGGGGTGAAGCAGTTATGAGATCAAATGATTTGAGCTGGTGGTAGAGTGGTTTACTCACGGAACGAAAACCACTATCGTTTACTAAGTGCTGGGTGTGGGTGAACATCAACAACTGAATCGCATCACTTCTGGGCTGAATGCCTGAATTTCCATATCATGATCGCACCATGAGAAAAACATGTTCACTCGTCAATGTGATTTGTTTAACCCAAAGAAAGTGGCCATTAGTCTTTCCAAAATTGGGTGCCCAATTGAAGTCTCATTACCATATGTTTCTCATCGATTGGTGTTTATCATATTTTCCTACAAGTGGAAATATAACAATGGAATTGCCATGGTTTTCCAGTGATTACCATGGCAATCACAATTGCCTTTCGGAATGTTATCAATGAGTATCAATGATTATCAAGAGTATCGATGATTATCAATAATTATGGCCATATGATGGCAATTACCATCATTTACCATTGATACAACTACAATTGTTTCTCATCATTTCTCCATTGGATTTGCCAGCCAGGCCAATCCCCGAGATCCAGGATCATTAGTACATGCAAAGACACGCTCCTGAACACACCTCTACACACACACAGACAGACAGAGCTATATATATATATAATATATATATATATATATATAATATAATATATATATATAATATAATATATATATGTAATATAATATATATACATATATATAATATAATATATAATATAATATAATATATATATATATATACTAAAAAAAAAAATATATATATATATACATACACCCTCAGGCCGCCTGGTTCGCTGTTTTCTTTTCGACAATGTTGTGCTGGGTTTGGGGTGGGGGGTTGGGGTAGGCGGGGTGGGGTTTTGGAGGGGTTGGGGGGTTGGAAAACTAGGTGTTCAATGGCTTCACATTGTGGTCCCATCTTCCTCCATGGTTTCCAGACTTGGATGAGAGAAGTTTTCAGGGATTACCCCGCCAATTTACAACCAAGCACCCATGGTTAATATGTTCCTTTAAACCAACCTCCCATGGTTTGCATATTCTTTACCACCTTCACCCGTCTTGACGTCACGCCCATATCGGGAACCAAAATCCACGTGGCCCTTGCTAAAGTTCAATCGCTGCAAGTGCAGGTCCGCTCCGGGCACCTTATCTGTGACAGGGTTGTCGACCCGGACTGGGTCCAATTCCTGGACCATTCACCAACCAATCTACACTTATGGCCCGAAATGCCAGTTATAAGATGTTATAAGTCTAAGTTCTAAACCCCATTTATGGAATGATCACCCCATTTACCACCATCTGTAACTGATAAAGGGCTGTACCTCGAACTTGGCAAAACTCATGGCACCTTAAACTCCGGAGTCTCATCCTCCAAATCGCAGCACGCCCAGCACCTAAGGCTTGCGCTGTGGGATACGCCCGGTGAAGCACAAAGGAAACTAACCAAGAGAAATAGTGATGGGTTATACAACCTTAGTTGTAGGATGTTGGAGGGTGATGTCGCTCCCAGACTCCTAGACGTTCTGTTTTGGGTAAGTTCCAAGACAACATTCAGAGGATGCGCCATACATGCGCATAGACGAGCATGAAATCCACGCCTGCAGGGACCCCGCTTCACGAACTGAACGCCTTTGCTTCATAGTCTTCAACACTATCAGTATGTGGTGGGTGGGGGTGAGATGATCTTTTTTTTATAATTAGTTCCCCCTGCTTGAATGGGATACCGGGATACCGGGATACCACAAATATCCACAAATCATGTATTCCTCCATCATGCCCAACGAATTGCCAGCTGCAGCCCTGTCGTTGCCCTACGTTCTAGCGGGGAACTGCAAGTGGGAGAAAAGTGACAGCACCATCTTTGTGGCACTGTAAAAGGCGCCGCTGTGGCTTTCAAACTGCCTGAAACATGCGTGTCAGTTGTTTGTCATCTGGATTTATGCCAAGTAGTTTATTTCAAATATTGTATTTGACTTGAGATTGTGTTCTTGGTTTGACGTCTTGGATTGAAAAGGAACATTCTTGATCTCAAGCTTTGGTCATTTCGATTCTGCTGTCAAAATCTGGAGGCCTAACCAATCTTAAGTCGCAAAAAACAACTGTCAGTGCCCTTTCTTTCCGCACACCTGTCCGGCCGTTTTGAAACACTGCCTGTCAACATCTCCAGTTCTGCGCACTTTTGATCCACACCGTGAGTTGAAGGCAAAAGTACCAAACATGAGCACGGTTGACGGCGACCCTGAATTTTGTGCTGTCCTTTCTCTAGCCATTGTTCTCTCAACACCTGCGAAAAAATCCGTATTAGTGTGTATGTTAGGCGGTTAAAAACACAACTCAGTCTTTTCAGCGCTTTCACAAATATGTATGGCATGTTATTAAAAAACAAAAACATACATCCAGCGTCCATTTACAAGAGACATCTCAATAGTCTCCTTTTAGTCCGGAAAAAAATAGAGGCCCCTTGGTAATATATCTATTCTGATCTACCTATTGGTTGGTTTGAACATGGGGGAAATCCGCCAAACAAATCAACCAGTGGGATATAATTTGGGACACTTTAATATATTCCTTCTAATTCATCCACCATAACTATAACTAGTGTTAGTTGCCTGTGTCCCCATGATATTCATCTCCCAAGATATTTCCATTACATCTATGAGACATTTGCCCCGGCAGCACCACACTGCCACCCGAGAAAACAGTTCCTCCTTTCGGCTGTTCATCTCCTCTAAAGCCTGACAGGTGCACCCTGCAAGCCACAAAGAATGGGAGTTTAATGGTACTTATTAACGGGAGCACGTCATAGGACTTAATGGAAGTATCAATAGATATGAAAATAGGTTGGTCGATGGGAAACAAAACATACAGGAAGCCATGGTTTTGAAAGCGATAAACGGCCGTGGTTTTCCTGCAAAGATTCCCCATCCCTTCATCCAGAAATCCAGGCCACCCTTTTCGGCGCCTTGGCACGCTCTTCCTGGATGAAAGTTTTGCAAAGATCTGTTGTGCGCATTCTCAATATCAAACGTGTATTTGTAGATACAAATGTCAACACAAAGAATTTCACATGACTTGACTTTGCCCTCATATACGCTGTTACACATGTATAAATCAGTGAAAGTGCAAAAATCATACACCGTATCAAGGTAGAATCACTCGTTTGTGCAAAGCTTCCACCTTTTCTAGCTCAAAAAATAAATGCTTTAGAGGAGTGTCTGTGCGTCCATATGCATACACATGCATACACACGCATGTTGCATAGTCCCCAACTGGGGACAGGGCAACCCCAGTGGATTGGAATATGCTGAACATGCACGGTGTAAATGCACCTTGAAATTCAAACCTCCTGCAACACGAGCTGATACAACCAACTTGTTTATCGACTTAAATGTCTGATTGAAGATCTTCAAGGACCAACCCTCGCGGTTTTTCGTGCACGCTAATACAGTTATTTCAACATCCTGCATTTTTTCCTCAAAACATACTAACCTCCTTGTTGGTCTTTAATGGTGTTCATCTAGGTGACCGTTTCCTAAACTGGAGTTCCCCTGTGCGTCCTGCTGGCTGCACAGAATCAACAAGGCATCCTGGCGGTGGTGCGGTGACGGCAAGCCAGGGCATCGAGATAATGCAACGTTGATAAGAATAGAATTTCACGCGATATATACTTGAAAAACATGAGGGATCAAATCATTTGAGCATTGAAATGGCTAGAAACTATCCCTTTCCATGTCAACACACCCAATCCGTCTCTTGAACCTCTTCGATTCACAAGAGGTTCAAATCCCTCAATCTCCCCAACAAAAATAAGGCGTCAAAAATATGGAGAAAACCAGGGGTCAACCCATCAACCCTGCAATTCAGAACCTCAACTTTGCTCCAGGGCGTTTTTCCCCCTCAGCTTCAAGCGGTGAAACTCGAAGACTCGAAGCATCACTCAGTGGCCGCCCCAAAGGTTGTAGGAGGTGCGTAGGCCGAGTTCATCTCCATAGCCTCCAGGGTTTTGGAATGTTTTAGATGGATCCCTGGAATATTCTAGATTGATTCTCGTTGTTCAACCACCTGTTCAAACGTTTTCAAATCATAAGCGCAAAACAAAAACCAAACAAACAGTCAGTGTAGATGTCCCTTCTATGTTCATACTGGTCGAGGCTGGGGCTGGCTTCAGCCTCACCGTTTCTTCTGCATCTCCTTTCTTTCTGGCGACGAATGTGATCAAACTACTCACGTTGAGACATGGTGAGGCCAAAATAAAAATACAGCAATATCATGAATCAATCCATGAATCATTTACATATATTTGTTTTGGCTGTATGCTGGTCCCAGCTCAATAATCAAAATACAAAACCTTGTTTCATGCTGCTTCCACACCGTAGACAATAAACATGTTGTTGGATAATCCCTTGCCCGAATCACATGTGCCATGTTCAAGAGACTGTATATGGGTTGTGGCCATCCCACCATTATAGGGATTCCTTACAATCGGTATTTAAATGCCTATGACCTATGAATGGAGGCATGAAAATCCCCAAACATGGGTGCACTGACTGAAATCGAAGCGGCACAACCCGTGTGTGGTGAATTTTTGAGCTGCGTTGCTCGAAAATTCATTGGCTACGTATTCATACCCAATAAAATGCTGGTAACCAAGAATAACCACCCCAATTGAATTGGGCATGATGTTCTCACATTTTAACCACTCATTTATGGTAACAGGATGGTGGCCCGCCTGCGTTGGCGCTATCTCCAGATATCGTTGTCCTGGTGACAGCAAGCAGCCGCCGAAACGTTCCCGCAGATCCTCGCCCACTGCATGCAGGCCATCGTCCACTGTCAGCGTGGCGCGACGGAGGCAGGAGATGCCAAAGAGGAGGAACAAGACCTTAGTGGAATGCCATAGAACCTTCAAACATATGGATCCAGTGGTTCACATGGATTTACAGCATATGGATCTATAGTGATCCATTCGGGTTTACAGAATATGAATTTACAGATATTTCATGTTATTTCAATGGATTTACATGGATCTATCATTATTCATAATTATTCTAGATGGATTTGTTTTTGTAAAAATGAAATACATAATTGACTGGTCAAAAATGCATTGAATCAAGTGCTGGAAAATAAAACACGTTGTTTCGATTTTGGCTTTATGACAAACACCAAGGATATCCAACCATCTACAATATTACCAATGAGCAACATTGACTTGAAACATTGGTATCAACCTTAAGGTGGCTTTTTTGTCAAGAAGGACAAAAAGGGTGAACAGGTGATTGAACACATTTTGTGGACCACCTTCCACTAAAATGACCTTTTCGTTGGTCCTGCAGCCCTGGTCAGCTGATTATTGTTCTTCAACCTAGTCCCAGCTGGGGCAGAAAACAAAAGAACCATCCCAAAACAGCAGCCAGAAGTTCAACAAACTAGATCCCGCTGCTGCTCCCCCTGCCCGTCTAGGTCAGATCTCCCGTTTCATGAATATCTACTAAACCATTCTAGTACCTATATATAAATATATATAACTACATTAAATGTATATATATATATACACATTATGTATTTATATATATATATATTTAAAATATATAGATAGATAGATATATATATATATGCATAATGTATTCTTCTTTCGCCCCAGTCACGTAGTCAGTGAAAAAACACAAGTTCACGAAGCCGCCAAACCAAGAATGCGGATCCCAGTAGTGTTGCATCAAACTTTTTTTGAAGAGCCAGTTCCTGGGAGGATCCGGATCGTGGGAATAATGCTGTGGAGGTAATGTTCCGGATATGCTTCACTATATTTGCTTCACTGCAATAAGAACATGTATACCTAATATTACGCACAGACCCCGTGGTTTGCCCTGACTGCAACATTGAGGATTCCGTGTCGTCGAACATGAGATTCAGAGCATCCTGGGTTTTAGGGTTTAGGGTTTGGGGTTCGTCGTCTGGCAAATACCAAAACAGTGGCCCTGCGCACGTTTTTGAACATGTCGAAGGATAATATTTGAACCTTGCGGGCAAGCCATAGGGTCTTGCCGTAATATTACATATACACACGTTTGTACGATAATATTACATTATATTGTACAATATTACGTATGGCTTGCAGCATCCAAACCACCAGCTGCCCAGTTGATCAAAGGTTCAGGATGTAGAAAAAACGATAGGTGCCCATGAGGCAAACCCAAAGTGAGACTCCCCACGGGTCTGGCGCTCCTGATTTTCACCGGGCGCTGGACGAAGTGCAACAACTTTTGGCAACACAAAAGCAAGCAATGAATCCAGTGGTGGTTCCATGACTCAAACAAGTGTGTTGGAACCCACATCTCCATGACTTCGCATGTACAGATTGTTGTTTCAAGTCGTGATTTCTTCACTCTGGCAATTAGAGATTCGATGGTGCCAGCACAAACACGGGAAGCAAAGACTGAAATTTCACAGATCCCTGACCATCCCTGACTCTCTGGAATCTTCATCACAACTAGCCTTCAGGTTGAAATTTAACATATCCCCAGGCTGGTTTCTGCCGCTCCTGACACCGCATTCCGGTAGGAGCATACATATTGCGGCACCATGGCGAAACCTTGGGTGGTTTCCCTCACAAATCATTTCTGCCATGTTCGTCCGCTATCCTTGGTGTCTTCACCTTGCCTACTTGAACAGGCCAACAGTGCACTATCACTCTTGCCTTTTACTATTCCGAACTATGTGTTTGATCTGTAAACCGTTTCCTCTTCAAAACATCGTCTCAGCTCCCAATCCGCCATCTTAAACCATATGTTAAATCACTACACCCTCCGGTCATCAAACATGGCAATCGAACATCCACTATTTGATAAATTGCCCAGCTATAAACCCGGGGATTTTCCAGCCCCAGTCAGGTGACCAGATTAAGAATACCCTTTCAGTAATCAAACATGCATTGTGTGCTGGAAAATCTCCCATGTATAGTTGATGTTCACAGGTATAACCCTCCATGATCAGTGGATTTCCAATTGCCATGCTTGAGTACTGGAGGGAACCGTGTCTATGGGGGAAGTTGCAAAACCTTTCCTTTGCGAAGGTTTCAAAGATAGTTGTCATGTCGTTTTGCGTGGCAAGCGTGGCACTTGGTGATATTCTCACGTGTCTGCAAACATGTCGAAAATCGCTTTACTAAACTCCGCGCTCCACACTTTACACTCTATACTTTACACTCCAGTCTACGCTTTACACTCCACACTCCACACTTTACACTTTGACCTTTGCACTCCACTCTTTACACTCCACACTTTACACTTTACACTCCACATTTACACTCCACACTCCACACTTCACACTTTACACTCCGCACTGTACAATTTACATCCCGCACTTTACACTCCACACACCACACTACATTTTACACTCCACACTCCACACTTTAAACTCTACACTTTACACTTTATACTCCACATACCACACTCTACACTCAACACTCTACACTTTACACTCCACACTTTATACTCTACACTCTACACTCCACACTGTACACTCCACACTCCACACTCCACACTCCACACTTCACACTTCACACTCCACGCTCTACACTTTAGACTCCACACTCCACATTTAGACTTTATACTGTGCACTCTACAACTTACACTCCACACTTTACACTCCCAACTTTACACTTTACACTCCGCACTTTACACTCCACACTCCACACTCTACACTCCACACTCTACACTCCATACTGTACACTGCCACACTTCACACTTAACACTTTACACTCCACACTCTACACTCCACACTCTACACTTTACACTCCATACTGTATACTCCACACTCTACACTCCACACTCTACACTCCAGACTCCACACTTTACACTTTACACTCCACACTTTACACTGTACACTCCACACTGTACACTCCACACTCCACACTTCACACTTCACACTCCACACTCCACGCTCTACACTTTAGACTCCACACTCCACACTGTACACTTCACACTTTAGACTTTACACTCCACACTCAACACTTTACACTCTACACTTTACACTTTACACTCCACACTCCACACTTTACACTCCACACTCTACACTTTACACTCCACACTTTACACTCCACACTTTACACTCTACACTTTACTCTCCACACTTTACATTTACCCTTTGCACTCCACACTCTACACTCCACACTCTACATTTTACACTCCAAGCTCCACAACAGGGGAAAAATGTACAAGACTGTTCAAACCCTTGTTTCACAAAAGTGTTCTACGTGACTGCATTCAGGTTCGTGGGCGGCATTTTTGTGATATTTGTGGTATGTTCTATGGGACTTTTGTTTGATTCTCTAATCAAACAATGGTGACAAGACCTGACCCCCCTGGTAAATTGTTCCAAGACCTGGCCCCCCTGGTTGTTGTTCCAAGACCTGGCCCCCCTGGTAAACTAACATAGCTATGGAAAATCAGCATTGAACATAGGTCAATCCACTACAACCAGGCCATGTTCCATAGCTATGTTAGATTATTGGTTGGTATTTACCCGAAAAAACACAAAGGTATTCATGTAGTTGATATATGTTGTTAAAACATGTATATATATAATTATAAATATAGAGTTAGTTATACATATATATATATAGTTGTATAATTATTCCCATCTATTCCCATCCATAGAGACCTCGATTTACTTCGTGGAGATTTCAACTCTCGCCATGTTACCTTCCAGGCTCTGCGACCAGGTCCAGAGGATTTCCATCGTCTTGTCTTCCGCCGCGGACCAGGGAGCTAGGCAGAGCGCCAGCAAGGCAAAGCTCAGGGCGGGGCAGGTGTCGGCGTCCTTCCTGAAGCTTTCTGGGATGGAAAAGCCACCAGAAAATTCATCATGAAAAGCAAAATCTTCTGGAATTTGTATTTTAAACAAGTTTCAATGAAATTCAATGGGGATTTCATGGAAGTAGAATACTGGTAGCTTTTCATGGGGTTCAAAGCGGGTTTAATGGGAAAATCACTTGTTTTCTATGGGAAAAGGCTCATCGGACACTATGGTCTTTCCGAATGACCTTCGCCTTAACCAAAAAGCAAAAACCAGGGGAAAAATGTGATGGCCAAATCCTCACCTGAAGATTCTTGCCGGAGTAAAGTTGATAATTCGGCTCTGTTGTGTTTTTACTCTGAAATTATGGGAACATAATATTTGAACTTATTTGCCGGACAGCGTTTTTAGGTGTGAATTGGCAATATATTTCTTGGGACAATATGGGAACATTATGTGATAAAGCCTTGGGTTTATTACTTGCTGAGGATTCATACAAAAGTGGCAACACGTGGAATGAATGTTGTTTTTCCCGAGAGCGTCTGAGCGCAGGGTTCTTCCAATAGTGGGGGTCTGTAAAACATCTTCTCATCTTCACATCTCATCTTCACATTCTCTCATCTTCACATCTTCTCCTCATCTTCACATCTTTTCATCTTCACATCCTCTCATCTTCACATCCTCTCATCTTCACATCCTCTCATCTTCACATCCTATCTTCACATCCTCTCATCTTCACATCTTTTCATCTTTACATCCTCTCATCTTCACATCCTCTCATCTTCACATCTGCTCATCTTCACATCCTCTCATCTTCACATCCTCTCATCTTCACATCTGCTCATCTTCACACCTTCCCATCTTCACATCTGCTCATCTTCCCACCTTCCCATCTTCACATCTTCTCATCTTCACATCTGCTCATCTTCACATCTGCTCATCTTCACATCTGCTCATCTTCACATCTGCTCATCTTCACACCTTCTTTCACATCTTCTCATCTTCACATCTGCTCATCTTCACATCTTCCCTCACATCTGCTCATCTTCACATCTGCTCATCTTCACATCTGCTCATCTTCACACCTTCCCATCTTCACATCTGCTCATCTTCACATCTGCTCATCTTCACATCTGCTCATGTTCACATCTGCTCATCTTCACATCTTCTTATCTTCACACCTGCTCACCTTCTCTCTCATGCCTTCTTTTTATCTTTCTCTCTTAAGGCCGAGAGTGGTGCCGGCGGCGAGTCCCGAAACGTCAACCCTTTCGCACGAAATGAGGGTCGATCGGCAAAAACTGAGGAAAATTTGCGATTTGACTTGTCCCGGAGCAACCCTTTCGCACGAAATGAGGGTCGATCGGCAAAAACTGAGGTAAAATTGCGATTTGACTTGTCCTGGAGCAACCCTTTCGCACGAAATGAGGGTCGATCGGCAAAAACTGAGGTAAAATTGCGATTTGACTTGCCCCGGAGCAACCCTTTCGCACGAAATGAAGGTCGATCGGCAAAAACTGAGGTAAAATTGCGATTTGACTTGCCCTGGAGCAACCCTTTCGCACGAAATGAGGGTCGATCGGCAAAAACTGAGGTAAAATTGCGATTTGACTTGCCCCGGAGCAACCCTTTCGCACGAAATGATGGTCGATCGGCAAAAACTGAGGTAAAATTGCGATTTGACTTGTCCCGGAGCAACCCTTTCACACGAAATGATGGTCGATCGGCAAAAACTGAGGTAAAATTGCGATTTGACTTGTCCTGGAGCAACCCTTTCGCACGAAATGAGGGTCGATCGGTAGAAACTGCCCTATAGGTCAGGCAAGGTTATTTGGAGCAAAATAGGTAAAAGTGATTTTGGAGGCAATTTTCTAACTAATAGTTTATTTTTAAGGAAACAAAAATAGTTATTTTTTTAAACTACATAGTTAATTTTTAAGGGTCCATTTCAAGGTAATTTTTGGGGTTTAAAAAAATACCTTCAAAATTTACCTTGAAATTTTGCATTTTTTGCATGGAAAAAAAGATAATGAATTTCGACATTTTCTTAACATTGTACCATAGTAAAGTGAACATTATCAATTGCTTGAAAGGTATTTTAACAATATGTTTCTTGATTTTGTGTGAAGTCAGTCCTACATGATTACTGGAAGTGCAAAAAACTATGTTGTTTGAACTTATACTTGTTTGAGCAAATCAAAGTTTTTATTTGTGAAGATCAAATCTGATTGGATGTTTTGAAGATATGTTATACAACATCAAAGCTACAATGAAGTAACCCCAAGCATACATTCTGTCTTTGAAAGCTCGGTGAGGACATCCATCAAAGTATAATTGAGTTTTTGGTCTTTCTTGTCAAAAAAAGATTTTGACAGCCGGTCTTTGACAATCTCTGCCCAGTCGCTCCTGGGAGCACTTGCCCTGCTCAGTTTCACAGGAGCATCACAAATCGCTTTTGGCAATGCTGAGGATGAAGTAACCACAGCTGGTGTAGAGGAAGCACTGCTACCACTACCACAACTACCACTACCACTACCACCACAACTAGCTCCAGTGCCAAGCTGGCTCCAGGGCCTGCTCGACATGAATTGACTCATCTGCGAATAACTCATCCTTGGTGATGTTGGCTTGGCCACCATGCAAGACCATGGAACTGCCCTGCTTCTTCTCAATGGCTGTGGCTATTGTCCTGACATGATAGTAACCATCTTTCTGATAGACATCACCTCGTCTTTCTGCTCATTCAAAGCTTGCTGGTTTCACTGGATTTTTTCCACGGCATGATGGAGTGAGGCAACCCAGTAACCTGAGATTTGTTGGTGCAAATCTCAAAGTTCTTCTTGAAAACCTCGCACTGGGTATTTCCAGGAGCAAAAGCAAACTCGCCACAGGTGTTCTGCTGAAAGACTTTGTTGATGAATTGACTCTTAAATAACCTTGGGGGAGGAGAATTCTTGGAGCCCTCTTCATAGAGCTGCTGAAGATCTTCTGGCACCTGACCACTTTTGATCATTCTGGCACATTTCCTTACCTTGGGGTAGCTTCGATGCTCATCATCAGCAACTGTTGCATCCTCCTCTTTAGGCTCCTCATCTTCTCCTTCTGCATGGTCATCAGGAACTGGCTCATCCCTGGTCTTCTTCCATCCTGCTGCCATCTCCTTGGCAGTCTTCGCTTTGGCCTTGGCTTTCGCCTTCAGCTGCATCAGGTCTTTTCAGGATTTTCTTCATTGTGCTCTTGGCTTTTGCCTTTTGAGCTTTCATTGGCGAAGAAGTAACCCCAGGAGCTTTGCTGGCAGCAGCCTTGGCTTTACCTGCTGCCTTTGCCTTGACTTTAGATTTTGCTTTCACCTTGGCTTTGGCCTTTGCCTTGGGTGCTGCAGTATCTAAGAATCTAAGTCAGCTCATGGGGCAGCTTCTTCTGGAGAAGCCTGTTCTACAGATTCTGGTGCTGGTTCAGGTGGAGGCAAAAAGCAAGCATAGCATCAGGTTACCAACAGGGGCGACAAGTGACAAGTAACTTCAATCTTGGGCACCAGTGTGCTACATGGATGGTAAATGCACTTGTACACTTGACATATTTTCCAACCTTTCACCAAAAAAGTAGCCCACATACCAAAGACCTCGTGCATGCATCAACCAACCATTGTGCTATTTATCATTCACAAAAGGTGCTGCATGAGATTTTCTTATTTTTGGATGGTAATATGTTTTTGTGAAATGAATATTTGTCCTATGCATGCAATAATGGAAAACAATACTTAAAGATATGCTGCGACTTTAAGAAGTGGTTCGTGTTCAAAAGCATTAACAAGATAAACAAATATATAATTAGAAAAATAAAACATATATATATAAAGAATGAATAACAAAAAACAATAAATGAACAAATAAATAGTATATATATATACAGTATGTATATATATATATATGTATTCAATCAATAATCAGTGGTGGTATATGTGGCAAAAAAACATATTACAGTTTCAGTATTGTACATGTGGTTTTTTGTTTTATTTATGTATGTTCACCTAATGTAATTGCTCTTGTCCTAGGTTTGTTTGAAACTTTAAGGCATAATGTACCCAAATACTAATGTAGAGATATATGTGTATTCATTTGGTGTGGTGTTATTGGTTGGCTTGGGGTTACAGTTTTGCAAACCAAACCCATTGCATGCCAACCAACCCTATTAGGTACTTTGTAAAATGAAAGGTGCTTTAAACCCCCCTTAAGGTACCTTTTTTATTTTTAGCAAAATAAAACAAAAAATAAAAATGGGAATGCCCCAAAAATGTGTAATGAAAATATTTGATTATAGTTTCTGTATTGTACATGTGTTTTTTCTTTTCTTATTTATGTATGTTCACCTAATGTAATTGCTCTTGCCCTATGTTTTTTTGATGACACTTTAAGGCATAATGTGACATAATGTACCCACATACTAATGTGGAGGTATATGTGTATTTATTTGGTGTGGGGTTATTATTTGGCTTGGGGCTACTGTTTTCAAACAAAACCCATTGCATGCCAACCAACCCTATTAGGTACTTTGTAAAATAAAAAGGTGCTTTAAGCCCCCTTAAGGTACCTTTTCATTTTTGGGGGGGGGAAATCACAAAACAAATAGACATATAGATGTCTCAAAATGCCTAAGGCAAATGTTTGATTACAGTTTTAGTATTGTACATGTGTTTGTTGATGTATTATTTATGTATGTTCACCTAATGTAGTTGCTCTTGTCCTAGGATTTTTTGGTGCAACTTCAATACATAATGTACCCAAATACTACTGTGGATATATATATATATATATTTATGTGTGTATTCATTTGGTGTGGGGTTATAATTTGGTTTGGGGTTACTGCATTGCAAACCAAAACCAATGCATGACAACCAAACCATGTTTTGGGTTACTTTTTAAAACACATTTAGACATGGTGGGTGTAACATGTCAAAACAATTTGCACAATAAACAACCACTGTTTGTTTTTTTAATGAGAAAAACACTTACAAAGAATAGTAATCCATATTTGGGGTTACTTCTTTTAAAATGATCCCAGCAATAGATCCCTATGTTGTTTTTATTTTTTTTCAACCAGTAACATACATGAAACCTATTTTAAAAAAATGAAATGAAAAACTCATTTTTTTGAAACAAACAAACATGGTTTTCAAGAAAATAAACACTATTTTTTTAAAGAAAAAACAAGTTTTCTCTATATTTTTTGTTTACTGCCCTGAAAGTTTGTTGAAAGTTTGTTGCAAACTTTCAGTCAAACTTTCAGGGGGGGTTGCAAGTTTGACTGAAACTTTCAATGCAAACTTGCAGGGCTGAAAGTTTGGAAAGTTTCAATGTAGCCCTGCAAGTTTCTTTAAACTTTCAATCCAGCCTTGAAAGTTTGCATTGAAACTTTCAATCCAGCCCTGCAAGTTTGCATTGAAAGTTTCAGTCAAACTTGCAACCCCCCCTGAAAGTTTGACTGAAAGTTTGCAACAAACTTTCAACAAACTTTCAGGGCAGTAAACAAAAAATATAGAGAAAACTTGTTTTTTCTTAAAAAAATAGTGTTTATTTTCTTGAAAACCATGTTTGTTTGTTTCAAAAAAATGAGTTTTTCATTTCAATTTTGTTTTTTTTTAATAGGTTTCATGTATGCTACTGGTTGAAAAAATAAAAACAACATAGGGATCTATTGTTGGGATCATTTAAAAGAAGTAACCCCAAATATGGATTACTATTCTTTGTAAGTGTTTTTCTCATTTAAAAAAATCAAATAAAAAACGAAGGTTATTGTTGCCTGGTGTTTAGATAAACATGTAGTACCAACCATGGTTTGTGTTTGATTGAATGCTGTGTGTTTCCAAAATAGAAACCCCAAACATAGGTTGGTTGTCATGCAAGGGTTTTGGTTTGCAATGCAGTAACCCCAAACCAAATTATAACCCCACACCAAATGAATACACACATATATACATATATACCTCCACATCAGTATTTGGGCACATGATGTCTTGAAGTTGCATCAAACAAATCCTAGGACAAGAGCAACTAAATTAGGTGAACATACATTTAAAAAAACACCAACAAACACATGTACAATACTGAAATTGTAATCAAACATTTGCCTTAGACATTTTGCGACATCTATATGTTTATTTGTTTTATTTTTCCCAAAAATGAAAAGGTACCTTAGGGGGGCTTAAAGCACCGTTTTATTTTACAAAGTACCTAATAGGGTTGGTTGGCATGCAATGGGTTTTGTTTGAAAACAGTAGCCCCAAGCCAAATAATAACCCCACACCACATGAATACACATATACCTCCACATTAGTATGTGGGTACATTATGTCACATTATGCCTTAAAGTGTCATCAAAAAAACATAGGGCAAGAGCAATTACATTAGGTGAACATACATAAATAAGAAAAGAAAAAACACATGTACAATACAGAAACTATAATCAGATATTTGCACTAGACATTTTTGAGACATTCCCATTTTTATTTTTTGTTTTATTTTGCAAAAAAAAGGACCTGAAGGGGGGCTTAAAGCACCTTTCATTTTACAAGGTACCTTATAGGGTTGGTTGGCATGCAATGGGTTTGGTTTGCAAAACTGTAACCCCAAGCCAACTAATGACTAATAAAACCACACCACCTGAATACATGCGTATTAATGCATACATATATATATATAAATATATATATATATAGACAGTGATATTTAGGCACATTACGTCTTAGAGTTTCATCAAAATAATCATAGGACAAGAGCAGCACATAAATAACAAAACAAACAAGATATGTACAATACTGAAATTGCAATAAAATAATTGCTCTAGACATTTTGAGACATCTCCATTTCTATTTTTTTTAATGTTATATTTTTCCAAAAAATGAAAGGTACCTTAAGATGGCTTAAAGCACCTTTCATTTTCCTAGGTACCATTGTGGAACCAGTTTTTGAACATGTTAGGCTTCGGTTTCGGGAACCAATTTTCAGACGTTTTGAGACATCTCCAGTTCTACTTTTTTAAGTTTTGTTCAATGAAAATGAAAAAGCCATGCAACATCCATTGTGAAGTATAGATATCACATTTGTTGATTGATACATTCACAAGGTCTTTGGTATTTCTGTTGTAAGCTTTTCTGACATCATCATGGGCAAAACATGTTCTTCATGGAGTTACTTTTGGTGAAAGGCTGGAATTTACGTCAAGTGTACACTTAGGGATGTCTCAAAATAGGAGTGCCCCAAAGCTCTGTTTTGCACACTAAAAACAAGGGCTTGGGGCCCCCTATTTTGAGACATCCCCAATTGCATATACCATCTGTGTAGCACACTGGTGCTCAAGATTGAAGTTACTTGTCACTTGTCGCCCCTGTTGGTAACCTCATGAAGAGGCCTGCTTGTCCACCTGATGCTATGCTTGCATGTTGCCTCCACCTGAACCAGCACCAGAATCTGTAGAACAGGCTTCTCCAGAAGAAACTGCCCCATGAGCTGACTTAGATTCTTAGATACTGCAGCACCCAAGGCAAAGGCCAAAGCCAAGGTGAAAGCAAAATCTAAAGTCAAGGCAAAGGCAGCAGGTAAAGCCAAGGCTGCTGCCAGCAAAGCTCCTGGGGTTACTTCTTCGCCAATGAAAGCTCAAAAGGCAAAAGCCAAGAGCACAATGAAGAAATCCTGACAAGACCTGATGCAGCTGAAGGCGAAAGCCAAGGCCAAAGCGAAGACTGTCAAGGAGATGGCAGCAGGATGGAAGAAGACCAGGGATGAGCCAGTTCCTGATGACCATGCAGAAGGAGAAGATGAGGAGCCTAAAGAGGAGGATGCAACAGTTGCTGATGATGAGCATCGAAGCTACCCCAAGGTAAGGAAATGTGCCAGAATGATCAAAAGTGGCCAGGTGCCAGAAGATCTTCAGCAGCTCTATGAAGAAGAGGGCTCCAAGAATTCTCTTGAACACCAGAGGCGAGTCTGTGTTTGCTCCTGGAAATACCCAGTGTTCGAAGTTTTCAAGAAGAACTCTGAGATTTGCAACAAATCTCAGATTACTGGGTTGGCTTAGGTTGTGGACAAAATCCAGGGAAACCAGCAAGCTTTGAATGATGCAGAAAGACGAGGTGATGTCTATCAGAAAGATGGTTACTATCATGTCAAGACAATAGCCACAGCCATTGTGCCCTGCCATGGTCTTGCATGGTGGCCAAGCCAACCTCACCAAGGATGAGAGTTCGCAGGTGAGTCAATTCATGTCGAGCAGGCCCTGGAGCCAGTTTGGCACTGGAGCTAGTTGTGGTGGTAGTGGTGGTTGTGGTAGTGGTAGCAGTGCTTCCTCTACACCAGCTGTGGTTACTTCATCCTCAGCATTGCCAAAAGCGATTTCTGATGCTCCTGTTAAACTGAGCTGGGCAAGTGTGCAGCATGACATCAAAGAAACCAAAGTGGTTCAGGAGCGACTGGGTAGAGACAAGAAAGACCAAAAATCAATGATACTTTGAAGGATGCCCTCACTGAGCTTTCAAAGACAGAATGCATGCTTGGACAATGCTTCATTGCCAAGTATGACTGGTTCATTATTGCCATAATCTTGTTTCATGCCTTTTCTGACTTTTCCTCATTTTTGCCATGCTGTTGTTTCATAAATTTTGTCAGTGACACAAACACTACCCATGATCAAATCATTTGATCCAATCCAAGTGCCAAGGGAAAAACATGAGACCCTGTCAAAATACATGAAATAAACCCATGCACATATGTCAGCAGCACGTATATAGTAACCCCAAGAGAACATCAGACACATACCATATAACAAAAGAAACATAAATAAATATATATGTAAAAACGAAGTGAAAAAACATAACCCTTAAAAATTACCTTGAAAAAGGTTCTCAATAATTACCTTCAAAGGTAATTTTTTTTTAACTAATAGTTAAAAAAATCGACCAAAATTATCTTCAAAAAGGTAATTTTTTTTGGAGTTACCTATTTTGCTCCAAATAACCTTGCCTGACCTATAGGGTGAGGTAAAATTGCGATTTTTCCTGTGCCGGAGCAACCCTTTCGTCTGTGTGTAAAAGCGTCTGTGTGTAAAAGCGTCTGTGTGCAAAAGCTTCTGTGTGTAAAAGCGTCTCTGTGTGTAAAAGTCTCTGTGTGTAAAAGCGTCTGTGTGTAAAAGCGTCTGTGTGTCAAAGCGTCTGTGTGTAAAAGCGTCTGTGTGTAAAAGTGTTTGTGTGTAAAAGTGTTTGTGTAAAAGCGTTTGTGTGTAAAAGCCTCTGTGTGTAAATGTGTTTGTGTGTCAAAGCGTCTGTGTGTAAAAGTGTTTCTGCGTAAAAGTCTTTGTATGTAAAACCGTCTGTGTGTAAAAGTGTTTGTGTGTAGAAGCTTCTGTGTGTAAAAGCGTCTGCGTGTAAAAGCGCCTGTGTGTAAAAGTGTTTGTGTGTAACAGTGTTTCTGTGTAAAAGTGCCTGTGTGTAAAAGCGTCTATGTGTAAAAGCTTCTGTGTGTACAAGCGTTTGTGTGTAAAAGCAGCTCCTGTGTGTAAAAGGGTCTGTGTAAAAGCGTCTGTGTAAAAGCGTCTGTGTGTAAAAATGTTTGCGATGCAAAACTATTGTCTTGCACTTCTCACTATTTTGTCTTGATACTCCTCTTCTCGACTGCCTATAACACAGCTTTCATATACCGTTTCTAAAATTGCATCTCCATACTAACAAGAGAAGACCCTGCTCCTCTACGCTCTCGGGCCATCCGTCGTCTAGTTTTTTTAATAACTAGGCAAACCGGCGAGCCTCACCTTTCGGCCAGCTTTCCCACACCATCTGCACCATGCATAGTGTATGTTCAGTATAACTTTAAGCCCCGACATACGCGACATATCCCAAAACTATCTAAGATATCCAAGCATGGAGCATACATGGGTAAACAAAAAATATACTTGAGGGACCGGACCGTAACTCGTTTGTGAAAGCACTTCCGATCATTTGCCAGGACGCTGATAGGTGTCGCGCCAACAGCGGAAGCAAAGCAAAGCCAACAATGCAGTGCTAATAAAGTAGATCTTGTGGAACACCAAATATGCCTGGATGTTTGCTGAAAAGTTGGGACCCTCCAAGGTTCAGTTCCCCACCGACCTGCTGCCCAAGTAATGGATCTATTCGTTGATTGGGTCCATGTTGGGGGTATAATGGCTTAATATCAAAGGGACTTACAGGATTTTACAAAGATGATACCTCAAATTCTAAATATCCTTTATATTGTAGCTATGGAAAATGACAGATTTATGCCGTGCCCATTTCGTAGTCATTTAGTTCGATGATTTACCTATGAACAATGGTATATATTTCCACAGCAACCTGCTAGTCATTACCAAATGGTAACCGTATTTGTCTTGATGTCCCCATTACATCCGCATTTCCCTAGTTAAATCCATCTCCTGAAATCTTCCCATTGGAGCTCCCGCCGAGGCACATTCTGCAGGTGGTCCAAGAGGTCCAAGTAACGCGAGACGTAGAGGGTCAGATAGATGCATTGAGTGCGAAGGGACAGTCCCGCCACGGAGCGTCTGCAGCATGCGTGACCTCTATGATTTTTTTGTTATCTACATCTACAGGTAAATATAACGTCCTCCAAACATATTAATGGAATATGATCAAGTTTCAATTATATCCCTAAGTGTCTAAGCATCTATCCTATCAATATATATATATATAATCCAATCTCATCTAGTCTACCTATGGCACCCTTAACCCACTTTTTTTGGGGTTGAAATCGAAAAACATGTATTTTTTCAAGATTTTGAGAAAACACCTGGTAATTTTAGAAAAACTTGGTTTTCCAAATTTACACCCATAATTTGCCCGTAAACTACCGATGATTTACCCGTAATTTACCCATAATTTCCCGTAATTTACCCATAATTTCCCATAACCGAATGCCTTTCCGCAAAAAAAAACATGTTTTGAAAAAAATATGCTATTTTCTGGCAACCCAAAAATAAAGTTGGTTTTGGAGGCTGTAGGTATCTATGCCTATGCAAATAGAAAGGACATAACATCAAGAACTACTACTGTATTGAAAAATATGAAGAACAATGAGGCTTTCCAGTCCTGCGATTGTTTCGAGGAGGCTGCACTATCTCTTATCACCGTCCCAAGCCCAGCCTCACAGAACATGCAAATGATGTGCAATGGCAATGGTATCATTGGTCCGAAAATCCACATTGGGAGTTGTTGCGTCCAACCCTTGGAGTCCCCAAAGAGACATCTTTCAAACTCTGAAGGGGAATGGGCTGGCCCAAAATAACACAAATTTCCACACCCGACAAAATCTGCTAAACATCTTCCCCGAGCAGCAAAGCAGGAAAACCACTGCAGCGTCATGCAAGTAGTCGCCAATATATCTGAAAATATTCCACGCTGCATTATTATTCAAAGAACGAATGTCCATTGATGCCAGGGACATCCGTCTCAAGAAAAAAGTCACCAAATTCAAACATCGAGATTCGAGATTGCGATTTTTTGAGTTGCTCATAGCCCATAGCTGTGTATCGAGATCTGGTTTCATATCGATTTCTCCCCTAGTAACAAAGATCGGGGCTACCAATCAATTCTTCTGTTTCATCTGCAACTGACCCACAGGTTTCTTCCAAGGGCTGTTTCTGGGCCTGCCCCAGAGTTCGGACTGAGCCACGAAGTTCTTGCAGCGAGTGTTTGGTGAAATTCTGTGGCATCGTTGGCTACAAACCTGTTGCTTTGCCTTTGCTGTGATGAAAACAAGTCACATATGAATATGAATGTTTTGCCAAACAACATGACATGATATGATGCTGAGAATACTAGAAAATGAACGCTAGTACTTCTGCCAAAGTGTGTGATACGGTTGCTTTAAACTACACAAACCCCCCATGAATAGAAGTCTCATACATTTATGGATGATTTTCCCATTGGAAGTGGGGGTCCATTGCCGTGTTTGATTTAAAAAAATACTTCACTGTGAATGATCCCCCCCATGGCATTTATACATTTTCTTACTGGCAAATCTTCTGGCATTCTATCTGACATATCTTCTGGCATTCTATCTGGCATATCTTCTGGCATTCTATCTGGCAAATCTTCTGGCATTCTATCTGACATATCTTCTGGCATTTTCTCTGGCATATCTTCTGGCATATCTTCTGGCATTCTATCTGGCAAATCTTCTGGCATTCTATCTGGCAAATCTTCTGGCATTCTATCTGACATATCTTCTGGCATTCTATCTGGCATTCTATCTGGCATATCTTCTGGCATATGTTCTGGCATATCTTGTGGCATATCTTCTGGCATTCTATCTGGCGAGTCTTCTGGCATTCTATCTGGCATATCTTCTGGCATTCTATCTGACATATCTTCTGGCATTCTATCTGGCATATCTTCTGGCATTCTATCTGGCCGTTGAGGTCCGGCAGTGCCCACTGGGATCTGGAGCTCGCGGTTGAGGTCCGGCACTGCCCACTGCGATCTGGAAGTCGCGGTCGAGGTCCGGCAGTGCCCACTGCGATCTGGAAGTCGCGGTTGAGGTCCGGCAGTGCCCACTGCGATCTGGAAGTCGCGGTTGGGGTCCGGCAGTGCCCACTGCGATCTGGAATTCGCGGTTGGGATCTGGACTGCGAGGAGGAGGACGCGGAGGAGATGGAGGAGGAGGATGCGGAGGCGGAGGAGGAGAACAGCTCTGATAAAATCTAACAACCCTCACCTGGCAGGTGGGGAACAATGGTTGAAGCTTCTTTAGGGGGCCTTGCCCGCTACATCCAAGGGACAAACAAAACGATAGTCTGCACAACATATTCTGACTCTGCACCCCTAATTTCAAATTTAGGACCACCGACAGACCTGGAACAACAACGTTTAATCAGCAAATGTGTTGATGATTCCCCAAACCCTAGCGACCATAAAGTGTTTAAACTAACAGCCCATTAAGAAAAACAAATGTGGTTCATATGCCTAGTCCAATCCACCATGTATGATCTTGAACCCTATCACTGATTGTTACACCCCCATAGTGGATAGATAAACCTTCAGAATTCATGAAGCAATTGCCACTTTAACCATCATTTCTGCATGATATCCCCATTTTCGATGCCTAAACCACCATAACTGCTGCTTATATAAATCCATTTGTTTCACCCGCTTCACCTAGCCATGCTTGCCTTTCTGTCCGTCTCCGCTTGTAGGAGCTGTTGGCGTAGATCCTGAACGCCTGATTGCATCGATCTACAAGTAGAAGCCTTTAATGGGCAAATATGCTGATGTGTAAATATCAAGTAAACACTTGTTAGGTTGGCGGTTGGCATATATCTGGGCAAATTAAAATTCACTAACCTGAAATAAGGCGATTGTGGGATGATTCCCCTTATTAACCATGATTCCAGTGAGGTCGCAGTGAGGTCGTTATAATTTGCCCACATGTGTTGCAAGAGGTTGATAGACATGCTTTCTATCCTGTGAAGCATGCTGAACAACTATGCTCTTGAGAGAATGTATGTTATGTGGAGGCCTTTCGTCAGCTTCATCGTAGACACTCATCAAGTCTCAAGCATTGGACTCCGGTTTAAAGACAAACATGCCCCATGGCGTTCTCACTCCATTATAACCAAATGTGTATAAGTTGATCGAAATTTTGCAAAACTGGCTAACTCTGATCTAAATCAAGTGGATGGGCGGCCGGGCGCCTGCAGTGTTCGACATCACTCTGAGGCGTGCGGGTCGTTTGGTCGTTTCTTGAGCCGTCTGAATTCCAAGGCGTCAAGGCGGTTGTTTCTAGTCACCCCATGTCAATCCTCCAAGAGAGAAACGCTATTTATCACTATTTTAGCGGGAGTTCACTGATCATTGTTCCATCTAAAGCGAGGTTACTAATCCCGATCCCTTCCCCTAATCCTAAACCCCCCCTCCCCAAATAATCAACACCTCAGGTAGTTTTTATTATTAGGGGGTGGTATTTTAGGGAACCAAAGCGGACCCGAAGAATAAATAATAAGTTTAAACCCTTATTTTTAAAAAAATCTTTTAGATTTCAAAATCAATTAAATTTCCTTTTATAACGCAATTAAAATATTGCCAAAAATTGGATTTCGAAGCTTCCCCCTAATACAATACTACTAAAAAAAAATCGGACGGACCCTAATAATAAACACCCCCGGGCTGACTAGTTTTTATTACTAGGGGGTAACACCCTCACCTGAAATTTCCAGATCATGAGAATTCACCCAGATCATGAGAATTCACCCAATGAATAAACGTCAAAATTTAAGGCTGTGGGCGTTGCGAATCCACCCACAATGTTGTGCCCCCAAGTTATAACATAAGTTATAACATAGGGTAAGTTATGTTATAACATAGGGTATCTTATGTTATAAGTATGATAACTTCATTGAAAGTTATAACTTTTTTGGGTAGTTATAACTTAATTTAGCATCATGTTGGAAAAAAGATAAAGAAGTTAGCAAAGTTAACTTTTTAGGGTGCAATATTTGATATGAATCAATGATTTTTGGTGTTTGGCAAGGTTTTTCGGCTCAGGTTTTCAGGCAAAAAAAAACATGGCAACACGTGCCGTTATGCAAGATTATCGCTCCATGGTGGTATTTTTGACCGAAGAAATTTGGTCTGGCTAGCTGCGAGTGATCGCAGTCAATTGGGAAAGGTTGACTTGTTGGTGAGACACCTTGTGAACCAACTTGGTTTGCGGCATGCGTCCGAGCCAACAAATGCTGTTTTGGCAGCTATTGTGGCTCAGCATCTGTCACCCGGTGCTGAAATGACTGCACTGCTGCAGACTTGTAAGAGCGTGATGAAAACGGCGACGGTGCGTGCAACGCAGTCTGGCATTCAATTGCCAGCAGGAGAGTATATACAGACATTGCCAAACGCGCCTGATCAGCTGTCAGCTGCGTTGCGGCAACACTTTGCTGGAGTGAATTTGGTTTTTGTTCCTCCGCCACCTCGTGTTTCGATTGATGAAGTTTTGCAGGTGGCCCGTGGGATGCCGCTAAGATCTTCTCATCGGCAAGTGCAGCTGCAGCGTCAGATGCAGCACCAGCAGCAAAACTTGCTTGGATTTGGTACCGCTGGGATGATAGCTCCTCAAATGCAGGTGGCTCAGACTGTTGCTATAGCGGCATCAGTGGCTTCAGTGCTGCAGCAACGGGGGGAGACTAGCTTGCCGAATCTGCAGATTTTCGGGCAGAGCAATAGGTCAGAACCGGTTGCGGCTCCGGCTAGGAACGGCAGCTTGAGTGGGTTGCTGGACCGTGCTGAGTCGCAATCAAGCGCGAGGGCGCAAGTGGATAATGCTGCGCAGCCGTTGCTGGCGCTGACGGATGGCACGGCAGAGCCGCCGCTTCCAGCAGCGCCGGGAGTTGAATCTGTGGCACCTTCTGTGGCTGCTGCTGCTGTAGCTCCATCTGTGAGTGGGAAGTTGTGTGCGGAGGCACCGGTGCCCTCCAGTCCCGGGGATGTTTCCGGTGCAGGTCAACCGGCGCCGCCTGTCATGGGAGAAGCAGCTGCGGCAGCGGATGCCCTGGCAAGAGCACATTATGACAAGACGTTGCCAGATTTGACAGAGTCAGATGAGAAAGTTGCAATGAAGAAGCCAGCATCTCGCTTGGCAGCGACTCCGACCCAGCAAGGTGCAGCTGGTGGGGGGATGAAGCGACCTGCCGCAAGCAAATCTCAGTGCAAGGTGAAGGTTCAGGAAGTGCAGCAAGATTCGGTGACGATAAAGCCGATGGCAGGAATGAAACGTCCTGCTGCAAAGTCCCTGAAGTTGGAATCGGTGAAGACGCAGGCAGCGGCAGGAATGAAACGTCCTGCTGCAGCTGCATCAGTGGCCAAGCTTGAGAAGCGTCCAGCCAAGCTTGACATGCGTCGTCGCTTGAAGTTGCGACCGAATGGCTGCGGCAAATGCCGCTATAAGCCTGGATGCTGCCCAAGCTGTTTCAATTAGCGTGCCGCAGCTGAAGACCTGGTTCCAATTTTGAGCATGCGATGTTGAGGCAAAGGGGCTAATAGGAGATTTTGAAAGTGTTGGGCATATATATATATTATATATATTATATATATATAATTGTTTCGGATGGTGTCGAGTAATGGGTTTCCCGGTCGATATTTTGGTTCATTTTTTTTTCATGGTTTTGAACAACCTCAGGTTTTTGGCTGGCAGCGCATTCGTCGTGACTTTTATCTGCAGCATTTCAGTTTGCCATGGAGGTCAAAGGCGTCTTTCCGAAGAAGTTGGCTGATGGGACAGTGCATTTGACCTTGTCCAAAACGGCCAGGGAAGCCATGCGATGCCAGACTTTAGAAGATATGTGGAAGAAGTTGGACTCCGGGAAGCAGCAGCCTTGCACTCCGGAAGATGTTCCCTCGACGACAGCTTCCGACGAAGCCTTTGAGATTCCTGCTGAGCACGCATGGCGTGTCAAGGTGCGCTCTGCAGTGCGCGACACCATGCGTGAGATTGCTGAGCGGGCGGAAAACGCTCAAGAATCATTGGAGGAAATGTTTCCGATCCATGGAAAGTTGGCAGTCATGGAGCATCGACTGCTGACTGATCCTGCTTTGGACAAGCAGGATGCGCATGAGGTACTTCGCCTGGGTCGCATGTTTCTTTATATGTGCGATCTTGAGAGCGATGCCGAACCAGCAGAGAGTGAAGTGTGTGAGTATGACATAGATGGAGAGACTGTGACGGCTTCGACGGTTTTGATGTAATATTGCGACTTGGTGACTGTGAGGGAATGCTTAAAAACAGGGCGGGTTCAGCACCATGGCACACATCTCTTCAGGGGTTTCGGACACATGATTCATTGGTTTGGGAAACAACTTTGGTCCTATCCAAAATATTAAATCTGTCGTATGTGGAGGGTTCAAATGTGATTGCCGTTTCTTTTCCTCGGTGGTTGTTGCATGTGTGGCACTGCATATTTGTGGTTCAAGCGCGAAGCCTGAAAACTTGCAGTTAGGTGCAGTGGCACAGGCGGGGCTGCTGCGCAGGTAGATGGGGTATATATATATAATTATATATAATTTATATATGGGTTTTATGGGATATATGATTATAAATTAATGAATGTATATATATATATATATTGGTTCGGTGGATGGCCTGACGGCTGTCAAGTGGCCTGCGGGCTGCACGGCATCAGTACGGCGATGGCCTGAGGGCTATCAGATAGCGGCCTGTGGGCTGCAAAGATGGATGGCCTAAGGGCTGTCGCGTGGCCTGCGGGCTGCATGGTTGTCCTAACTGCAGCGATGGCCCGAGGGCTGTCTAGCGGCCTGCGGGCTGCAGGAATCTGCGTGTGACTGCAATGGATGGCCTGAGGGCTGTCAAGCGGCCTGCGGGCTGCAAATTGTTTGCCGCTGTTTCTATAGTGGCCTGTCGCTTTGTCTTGCAAGCTGGATGGCCTGCGGGACATTTTGGTGGATTCTTTTTTTTTCATATATATATATATTATTTATATAATTTATATATAATTTATATAATCATATATATTTGTATTTTTATATATGTGTATATCTGGCTTTCTGTTTTTACAAAGATTGTGTAATGTGTATACGATATTGCTATATATATTACATACGTCATAATGCATTAATAGACATAACCCATCGCATGGCCAGGTCATGGCTTCGTCCAGCAGCGAGGAGAGAAGTCCCTCTCGACGCCGGAGTCCGAAGGAGCGGAGCCGTTCTCGAGAGCCAGCTGCGGGAGACGCAGCTTCCAAGGAAGATGGTGCTGAGACGAAAGAAGACAATCAGGAGTGGAGGTGGCACAAGGCATCGCAGCCGGCGCGCTCTGCGGCGCCCAGCCGAGCGCGCGGCGGCGGTGCTAGAAAGAATTACCGACGGCCGGGTGCGGAAGGCACCTGGACGTGTATGGACTGCGGTCGCACCGTGGACAAGAACGAAGTGTCGATAATACAACATCGACGCTCCGTCTTCTGTGTCTCCCGCCAGCTCTGGAACGGCGGCAAGGAAACGGATTGGAACATGTGCAAGCAGCTGGCGGAGAGTGTGCACCAAGATGAAGATCTGGAAGTGCACGACGGTCGAGTGTGGCGGCGCCGCCTGGATCGCCCCAAGAGTCCGCTTGGGAAGCCCCCCACTGCGGAGCACGGAGATACGTCGTATGGCCGCAGTCGCAGTGGGCAAAAGGAACGGCGAAGCGTCTCGCGCGGCGGCCGCAATAGGCGCTTGCGCCTGCAGGAGCGGACCCGTTCGCGGAGTCGTGATAGGCGCCGTCGCTCTGCCAGCCGCAAAAGTCGAGCAGGGGCCAAGACCGAATGTGAGAAGCCTGCTCGCGCGAGCGGCAGACATGCTGCAGAGGGTGAGCAAGAGAGCGGCCGTGCTGCAAACAGCAAGGGGACGCGGGAGAAGCACGAGGCTTCGAAGGTGAAGAAGCCACATGAGCCAGAAAAAAGGGCGTCCGCTGAGAAAGAATCGAAGGTTCCAGAAGAGAAGAAGGAAAAAGAATCTTCGAGCTACGAGTATACCTACAGCAGCTCATCTGATGAGCAAAAAGAAGGTGAGCCTGGCGTGCCAGAGCCCAAACAGGCTGCGTCCGCGCAGCCGAAGGCCAACCCGAAAGCCAGCGCAGCCCCTGCAGTGGGAAAAAAGGAGAAAGCAGAGGCGGCTGCAGCCCCGCGGGGGGGGCTCGGGCGAGGCCAAGCAGGAAACCCAGAGCGATCACGATCGCCGGACGGCGATGTTTAATTCGCTTCTGAAGACGGCCATGGAGACGGCTGGCAACTTCTGAGGAAGTTTCAGAAGTGCTTTGCAACAGCACTGACCTTTTTGGCACCGACTTGCAGCAGCAGAGTCCAAAAAGGGGCAATGCGGGGATCACGGCAGGGGAGAAGACTGGAAAACTCTAAGACTCATAAAACGCGCATGTGTTTGTGCTGAAATAACCGAATGTTTGCGGAAACGCGTGTGTGTTTGTTGTTGTAGTAAAGAAGGGAGCTGGAAACGCGCATGTGTTTCTTGTTGGATGTGCTAAAACCGCTGGAAACGCGCATGTGTATTTCAACGCCATATGAATTCACCGTAGGAAACGCGGATGTGTTTGCGATTTCATGTAGAAACGCGCATGTGTTTCCCATAACATGAATATATAACATGAATGTGTTTTTTTTGTGTTTCCTTCTAAAAAACAGATGTGGAATTAACAATTGAAACGGTATGTGTTTCCAAGGGGAACAATGGCGTCGCGTGTGTGTATCCTAGAAAACCCAGGAAACGCTTGTGTGTATCCATGCATATTTGACCCCTATATAGGAAACACGCATGTGTTTAAAATGTGTTTTTTTGTGTTTCCTATGTTTCCATGTTTTTGCCAAAGAAATGCATATTCCTGCAGCTGTGTCCGGTTCTTCCAGCTCCATCGGTGGTGACTTCCTTGACTTGCTGAAAGATGGCTGCTGTCCCTGACCAAAGCGCAATGGTGTCGCTGTCGTCAGTGGCGACGGAGGTGGAAGAAGGTGTCTGCGAAGCTTCTGCGCCCGCGCAGAGTGAGGAGACACCTTCGGCAGGCGCTGCGGTCACGGATGAGCAAGATGGAAAGGAAGCTGATCCGCTGGTGAAGTGCCGCAGGTGTGCAGCCGAAGTGAAAGCATCTGAAGCTGTGTGCATGCCGAAATTCAGAGATGATCTGAAGCACACTTGCAAACCGTGCTGGGCACTCAACACACAAATGAGTCGGCACGGCATCGAAATCAACAAAGCGCTGTCTGAGCAAGATGCCATCGCATTCTTTGTTGAGGCGAGAGAGCAACGCTTGAATGGAAGCGAGAACAGGCTGGCATACGCTGATGCAAGGGCCTTGTTGAAACAGAAAATGGTGGTCGCTGCTGCGCGAATCGATTCGCATGGGGAGGACGGAGAGTACCAGCCCTTGAGCTACTGGGAGCTCAAAGGTTATGACAGTAGCAGGATTTCCCAACTAGCTGACGAAAAAGACCACCCCATTTTGGGCAAAACCTATAGGATCGACATCAGCAAGCAATCGACCCACCATGTGAACACTGTGACTGAAGAGCGTATCCTCACTATGGAGAGTGCAGCGATGGAGCGCAGGAGAGGGGCGACCGCAGCCGCGGCAGCTGCGCCGCCTCCTGCGCCGGCTCTTGAGCTGCCTACGCTGTTCGAGCAAGAGACGGCTGGCAAGAAACGGAAGTCTCCGGAGGAAAAAGCTGCTGCGCAAGAGCAGGCCAAAGCTCAGCGCTTAGAAAACAAGAAAAGGAGCAAACTGGAGACTGCGGCATGCTCTGCCGCGGCAAAGCTGCTGCCCCAGTTGAAGAAGGTGCATCAGAAGCTGCTGGCCGCTGCTGACAAGACGAAGGCAGTGAGCAACGCGTCTCTGTCAGCTGAAGATGACAGAACGATCTCACAGGCGGCTGAAGCCTTGGAGAAGGGAATCTCCAATGCCACTTCGATGTTGGCAGATGCTGCTAAGGGAAAGTCGCTTGATGCCTTATCGGCAAGTGATTTGCTGAATGAAAAGGAGTTGCAGAAGATCGTGAAGGATGGCAACAACGCCGTCCGCGTGGCCCAGCTGTTTGTTCGTGAGAACAAAGAAAATGCAGCTGCCAGGAAGAATCCAGGACCTAAGAAGAAGTGAGCCGTGCGCTCGACCTGTTGCTGCGTTGCTTTGACGCAGCCGCTCTAATTTGCCAACCGGCATTATATACGAGTTTGATCAAGCAAATCACAGCTGCCTGAGAAAAAAGTTTTGCTAATGGGGATGCCGGACGCCAAGAGTATTGCAGCTTTGCATTGCAAAGTTTCATTTCGTTTCGATGAGCTGACATTCGATTCATGACAAAGTTGCCTCCCATGTTTACAAAGCAAAGTAATATATATCTATTTTTTAATCACGAAATAAGCATTCATCTCTATATTGCATGTGTATAACCCCACATGTTCTCCTCACCATATTCCATGATATACATCAAGTGCATTTTAAATGATAGATATATATATATATATAAATATCAAATATTCACAATGGCAAGCTGGCGTTGCAAGCATTTTCGGCTCATTTAAAACAAGCATCATTGGAAACATGACATTGCTGTGCGCAGTTACCATAGCGCGCGCTGTGGCGCTAGCGCTGCAAAATGCGCAACCAAAGGATGAAGCGGCGGACGCTGTGGAACTTTTGAAAGAAATATTGACCCAGATTCGCATTTCACCGGAAGAAAAAGAGCAACGTGATATGGCATTGTTTTGCCATACGTGCTTGTGGTCTATCCGTGCTGTTCTCAACAATTGGGAACTCACAAGCACATCGTTTCATTGCGGCGCAGCCGCAAAGATGCCGCAAGATGTTCGCATCTGGCAAATTGAGCATCCAAACCGTGAAGTCTTGTTGCTGGAAATCGAAAGCGGTCTTCGCTTTCTGAGTCGACACAAAGACATATTTGCAGGTCAACCATGGGGATGGCTTATTGACTTTTTGACAGCAGTCGAATCAGAGCTGCGCTTGTAGAACATGCAATGAAACTTGCTAGAGCGTTATTGCCAAATAGCCAAAAAAGAAGTCTAGATGCGGTGGCTGTTGCAGATCTGTTACTTCGAAAATATATGGTTTATAAAAACGACATAAATACAATTAAGTACCATGTGCAATATTTATATAGCATGCAAAATAATATGTCTATATCTATATGTATATATTTTGTAATAGTATGATACATGTGGTTTGTCTGTTAGCATGCAACTGCAGCCAGCGTCTCAAGCACAATAGATATATTCGCCGCATGGATCGTGATGCATTAGCCGCTGCATTAGCACGCTTCAGTGCTGCTAGTGTATATCATGTGCGACAGCTTGACAAAGGTGAGGCTGCGTGGCACAAACAGCCTTCCGGCGCCTTCAAGCGCGCTGCAAAAGCGGCGCTAGGACCATTTCATGGCTGCTTCAAACCGCTGTCAGTTCCATCCGAAGAAGATGCAAGTGTGCCTGTGGTGTTTTATGCCGCAGACATGAAGCAAGTGCTGCGGCTTTTGATGGAGAAGTGTCCGTCTGTGGCGGCGCTTCTTCGTCGCCACGCAGGGACACCTCTCCGCGCCATTTTGGCGCATGATGAATGTACTGCAGGCAATGTCCTCAATCCTTTGCAAAGACAAAAAACTTTGCTGTTTTATTGTGCATTCACCCTGTTAGACCCAATCCTGGAATCCTCCAGGGGATGGTACCCAGTGGCGGCTGTAACTCATGACCAAATCCAAGCAGCCACTGGTGGCATCTCTGCTATCACGGCTGCATTCATCAGACACTGGGTGCAAAGCGACTTGGCGACGCCTTTTCAAGTTGATGCTAATCTGCGGATTAGCATCGAACTGGAAATGTTCATATCTGACTTAGAAAGTCAACGTGCAAGCCTAGCTGCCAAAGGCAGTGCAGGCCTGCGACCGTGCATCTTTTGCAGCAATTGCGTAATGAAAAACGCGTATGCTGCTGAACGTGACCCCAACTTTCTGACTGTTTTGGAACATAATTTTGATTTGTTTCGCAAATATGACAGAGGCGATTTGGAGAATCTGATGATCCACTGGCTCAGCTGCGCGCCGCGCATGAAAAAAAATGAAAAAGAGCTTCGAGAGAAATGCTTGGGCTTCCACCTTGACCCAGCAAGCCTTTGGGCTTGCCCAATTGCTCGAACGCACTTTCACATCGATATGCTTTGCAACGATTCAATGCATTGCTACTTTTCAAATGGAATATGCAATGCCGAAATTTGCTTGTTTCTGCAGGAAGTTCAGAAACACCTGGATGTCACCACAGACAGCTTGTCTCGACAAATGCAATCGGAAGGCTGGCGCCGCCGAGGCAATGAAAATGCCCACTGGTGCCGAAAACTGTGGGGAGCTCCTCTCTTTGGAGAGGTCTACAAAGGAAGCGCTGCTCAGACGGTCGCTTTGTTTCTGCTGCTACAGTGGTTTGCCGTTCAATGGCTCAACACGGCGGCGTTGCAAGAGCATTGCAAATGCTTTTTGCAGTTGGGACGCTGCGTTGCAGTGCTGCGGCGAGCGCGGCACGGCAGACACCATTGGGATCAATTGGATTCTGTGCAAAGAGAACATCAACGCATGTTCGCAGCTCTGTATCCGTCCCACACAAGACCTAAACATCATCACAGACTACATCTGCCTACCATGTACCAGCGCCACGGGTGCGCCGTGGCCTGTTGGGGCGTAGAAGTGGCGCACCAAAATTACAAGGGAACATTTGCAGATGTGTTACGACAATTTCTGCAACATGAGTCGAATGCTGAGGCATACTCAAAGAATCTTTTGCCGCGGCTGCTACTTCGAGCAGTTGAAGCCGTGAATGATCGGCCGTTCTTGCCGACAGGCTTTCAACTGCTCCGCCCCTTCGAAAAAGCTGAAGTGCAGAGACTGACAGGTTTGCAAAATGTGCAAATTGCGCAAGAATGTCAATTGCAACTCCAAGAAGTTGCTGAAGGAGACTTACGCCTGTGGACCGAAAGCCTCACCAAAGGCGGAAAAATTCATTTCTTTCTTTGCAAAGAAGAAAAGCTTTATGTTTATGTTTCCATCTTGCAAGCCTACGGGCCGCAGGAAACAGTTTGCTACAAAAAATTCAAACAGACAAATGAAAAAATCATTTTAGCATGGGACGCAACGTGCCACATACCAGCTTGGTCGTGCATCCAAAGTGGTGTTATCATATGTTTACCTTGAAAAACTTCTGCCCGCGCTACGAAAAAAGGATCAAGACCATGAAAAAACACGAAACTTCAAATCCAAACAATTCCAGCTGATCATCGTGTTAAACCACAAAAAAAGCTATGAAAAAAACGCTAAAAAAGTTACGAAAGTTATAACTTAAGTTATAAATATGGTTAAGA